TACAACTTCACCCCCAGGCCGCCTAGTAGCACGATTACTCGCAGTACGGGGTCTCGCTGCTCTTGGTCTGGCTGCCCCCGTTTGGCACTCCTGACATGGTTGCACATTGTGGAACGAAGTTCCAGCCAGTGTAGCCCGCGGGATCATTGCAGCACTGAAGCCCGCCTACCACGTCAAGGTGGCAGCTTTCGGTCAGAGCTTTAGCATCAAGACTACTGCTTCCAATGCACAGCTGCCTTCCCAATCCCCCACTTGACAGCCCACTGACAATGCTGGACTTATGCACCAATTTAACAGCTCGCGCGTGCAATGCGCAGCTACTTACCCCCTCCCCCAAATCATCGGTGAACGAAACTGCGGCAGCTGCAACCACTGTACGACGAGTACGCGGGCTCTTACAGTGACAATGATGATGATGTGAAGAACGGCGCGCTCGTGAGGTGACCAGAGGCACCCTAAGTTCAGGATGGCAAATGCGGCTTAGCAGTGTGCGACCAGCGGAATAGTTGTAAAAATGTTGCCCGAAGTACCGTCGCCACTACCTGAACAAAACGAGTTTGCGAATAGACGCATCAGGTCTTTCAGTCATCTTAGTATTTACTCCCGACATCCTTTTGTATATCCTGACATTAGAGCAGTATCCCTGGTTCTCGTTTTCCTGCTTACTTGTAATTCGGCACGGTCAGTTCGGTCAAAACTAACAGTTATGCACCGACATTATAACAAATATCACCTCCAAGATTGCAATATGGTTTTTTTATTTTTCGTCTCCGTGTGTTCTATAAAACTTTGAGACGGGTTACCGAGTTCACGGTAACGCCGTCTTTCACACAACGACTAGGAAAACCTCTTTCGTAGAGTGTGGACACTCGGATTACCGAGTTCACGGTAACGCCATCTTTCACACAACCACTAGGAAAGCCTCTTTCGTAGAGTGTGGACACTTGGCTTCGGGGGCCAACACCTGAAAACCCTTGCCATCGAAGTCCAAGATTCTTTTTTCTATACGGATTATTCCGCGCAGATTTGAAAGAAGTCAACGCGTGAAATGCCCTCGCGAAACCGAACACATTTAGTAACGGCATAGCCAAACAAACAGGGGTAGTTAAAAGTTCCTCGACATATAAATGGTTAGTAGCCGAACAACTGTATGTATGACGAGTATTTTAGTCTATATGGTAACTATGCTTTGGCTGCAGGTGTGACATAATAGGATGCATGCTCTAATACACAGTATTCTGCCCGCAGCGGTCCGTCCCAAAGTGTTCGAAGCTTATCGTGGTGGACCTTAGAAGCTTACCAGCATCCCCAAATTATTTTCTACAAGATTGGTTAATATATAATGATTCTATGAAGATTTTCTCTGGCCCTCCAACCTCAGACCTGCGATAGGCGTTGTATCGTATTTTAAGAGTTCAGCTCTGTAGCGACTTCCAGCCTTGCCAAAAGGGGCTGAAAACACTTCCGTCCTTTTCTTGGGATCAGGGTACCCAGAGGGCACGAAACATATAATTTAACGTAACTGTGTGCGCAGTCCACCATCGTGCTGGAACGTTGGTTGGGTCGTTATATTCACTGCATGTAGCTGGGCATATGAGCGAAAATATGTGGCTGCGGAGGCCGATACTTTTCACCTCCAATCCAAATACCTTCCCTCTCCTGCTCATTCAATACGCTGACACATAAAAAGCAGCTCCATGTATATCAGTGAGACCCCAATAGAGTGGCCGGTGGCACGTCGCCATTCAGGGTTTTTGGCTTATCCTCCACTGAGCCTCTAGCTTCCGGAGGCTTTAGAGTAACATTTAGCAATTCACCCAGCAAGCACTCTTCATTTTTTATATACAATGTTTTGTGCACAAAAAGCCAATATGAAAGGTCCATATGCGGTTATTGAGCTTAAGGCAAATTTACTCCCTCTAAACTTTCTGGGCTTTCCAGACACCAACAGTCAAGCTTAGGCCATTTGGCAGCCAATGTAGCTGTGTGCCTCTGAAAACGCCCCGAACCCACCGGCAATGTCTACTTTTCATTACTATATGGTCGTAATAGTCGAATCTCAACTGGCAGACTGTTCTTTTTCCTAGCAACTGGCACCTGCTTCTGGCGCTAAATCATAGAAAACGTTTGTGACATTGATGCCGAGAAATTCACTAGCTCATGAGGATCAATAGCTTGCCTATCTTCGAGTGCCTTCGGGAAGCTGCAATGCCCGGATACCTGTTCAACACGGAAGGTTTTATAGATATATATGGAAGGGGCAACTAAGTCTCGTCTGGTTTAGACACGAAGTTCAGTGGTAATGTACTGTCCATAAGGTGTTCTGAGGCAGAGATAAGTCTACATGTGTTGAGTTCCAGGTTTCCCTCTTAATCTAAGCTATCACGAAAAAGTGAAGCTGATTTGCGTCTCTTGCACACGATGTTTTCACCGCCGATTAAAATCTGGACTTATGTTACCTGCCTCAGCTACACCATTAAAAACTCTGACCGCAAACTGCTGCACCCCCATGGTGGCGTTTCAAACTTCGGTACGGTCATTCAGATGCAAAACTTCGGCTCGGTTAGCCGTAGGCAAATCGAAAGCTCACTTATCATCGTGGGTCTATGATTTTGGTCGATCTAATGGGGGGTAACTGAAAGATGGCTACCATGTCTTCTCAGACAAAGCATTACAGGACTGCCAGTGCCTCATTTACTATTTTTATTAGCAGCTGTTCTCAAATGATGATACGAAAAATGCAGGATCTCTGATGCGCATCCCAGAGAGGAGGGTTAACAGAGCTGTATAAGCGTTTTATGGCTGCGGTTTTCAGGATGCGCTTTTGGAGAGTCAGGGTGCATGAAGTTAAAGAAGCCTGTGTGAAAAGCACGGCCAACTTGAGTGCCATGTTCAAATAGCGCGAATAACGGAAAAATAGATGGAAGGGTAGCATTGCAATGTTTCTTGGTGAAAGAGAATCTTTTGAATTCCAAGGTATATGTTGAATTTAAGTGTATGTTGAGAATAGCAGGAGCTGATCCGAGGGAAATCGCTTGAAAGTAAACTTGTGTTTGAGAGCAATCGCAGCCAGCAACCAGGCTGCAAAGTGTTTGGGATGCAGATTTTCAGAGGGTGAGAAATATATTGCCGTGGCATATTATGTGCCGAATATGAACGGATACAAATCGGTCAACAAACACATTAGGGAATATTAGTTTTTCCCGCCTGAAACAGCAGCGTTTCTTTGGTAAAGAAGCTTGTGCGCACAAAAATGGCTGTTAATAGCAGAGAGTTATTCCATTTGTTTTAAACTTTACGCTCATGGAATCCCAGGCAATGAAATCGAACGGAAAAAGTGCAACTGCGCCCGGTAAACGGAAAATGGAAATGCCATCGTTTTTTCATTTCCATGCTTGTATTGCCCCGGTGTGCCTGCCAATTTATTGCTTATGCCCTATTATAATAAGTATTTCTCCTATTTCCAGTTATCATACATTCTTGTATTGTCTTTTTAAGTTCAATTATCACCAGTTCGATACTCGTGCCTTGATCTGTGCCACAACATCCCAATTCTCATTCTTGGAAATATTAAATTCTGTCACTGGAAGATATGGATTTCTACCTAGAACAAACTACGAAGATTTTGTTTCTACCATCCCAACGTGCATTTATATTCAGGTCTTAAATTCCTGTCATATTATTCATGCTAAATCCATGACATGCGCTGTTATTGGATAGAATCATGTTTGCCAGGCCTTCATATGTGTTTGGCAACGTAATTCTATGACCTGTCCGGTCCATGCACCATTCGTTTTCTGGAGTTGACAGCGGTGACTCGGCGACTGGTGACCCTTAATCTTACCGTCCTGTTAGGTTGACGTAGTAGAACTCAGTCAAGCTGTGATTCTTACCCACTATCTGGGAAGCTGTTGCTTGTCCGCTTTTTACCTGTCCACTGTCACTGCTCGCACTGACCCCTCATTTTGCACAACAAGGGCTCCATGTCGTGATGCTTTAGTAAGTCAGAATCTACCGCCCGATCCAGCTAGTCCAACAACAAAACTCCGTACTAGCTACCTCGACTACAAAGTTGTCGCCATCCTAAAACTAGACACCCACTCTGGCCCAACTAGTACCTGGTTTCTGAATCAGCAAACGTATCTAGCTTTCCTGGGTCCATTCAGCTTGTTGTCATCCCATTTTAGATTTTTTTCTATTGACACCGTTGTATTTTATGCCTCCAGGCACTCGCCACACACTACTGCTTTCGTTCTATTTCTTTCCGTTGCCCCTCCTCCCAAACCTAAATCCTCGACTGCGGTTGCCCAAACGCCCCGTAGAACTGTTATTCATTCAAATTGGCTGGTCCCCGGTCTGCATTCACATGGACCCCAGCGAAAGGGAGATTGTCTGTGACCTCGCATCCGACCGACTCACCGTGTGAATACCCGCCTCACCCAGATCTGGCTACCGCGGAACAGCGTTTCCTTTTTCCGATCGCGGCATATTTGACGTCCGTTGCGGGGCTGTCCATAAATCGGAGCGTGTCAGCTGAGTGATGGTATGGCACTGTCACACCCAGTGTGGTGGCGATCCCACAACTATTTTCTTCAGAATGTAGACCGCAATCCTTCGCCCACTCAAGCCTGTAGTCACAACTACGAGCAAATTTTTATCCGGCTCCGTCCCTGGGACGAGTTCTATTGTACCTGATGAATGTTCGCTCAAATTTGGTTAGTCCAGTTTTCTGCTACGATTTCGGCTTGCCTCTTTCTCAAATTCAAATCCGTATACGGTGTTTGGGTGGCCCTATGTATGAGCACCATGTTACCATCCAAACTACTCCCTGAGCCTGGGTCCCCTGCAAAAGCGCAACCAGTGAGTCTGCTTAGTTAAAGACTGAAGCGACTTTCTGGGGTAAAACGCCGTGTACTCCTAATTCGAATTATCCCATCTCCACCTTTGCCCGTTGCGACTGCGGCCGTTGGCCCACCGCCCAAGGTCACTCATGGCCGGCAATGGCTTTCAGATTTAGTTCATGCCAGCCGGCTGTCTTTGAACTAGTTGAACTTCATTCTCATTGTTTCCTACAAGTTGGGAGGGAAATCTATTATTATTTCATCGGATATTTCCCACTGTTTATGATATTGTTCTCTTTTCGCACAATCCGCAATCCGCACTTCCACAACTCCCCAGTCATGCTTCATTCTGACCGAGAACGTATGATCATGCAAGACGGTATGCCACTCACAAGCTGGTAATAAACATTATCATTGCTATTATCAGGCATTATCAAATCCTCTCGTTTGTACCTTTGCTCTAGCGTACTAATATGATCACACCTGTTGGCATACCATCCAACAGATGGGAATAAATATCACTACTGTTGCATAACCTCTTAGTCGCACTTCATAATTGTTACCGTGACACATTCAGTAAACACCTGGTTTCAGTGAGGAATGTAGATTACGGCATGACATCCCGGCTCAAAAAATGGATTAAGATTGTGCAGATCATAGATCCATTCTGGTAGTTGCCCATCGTGGGTTGCCTCGCATTCATTCGTGTCCCGTTCTTTTGCAACCGTTTGCTAATAAATAGATTTATAACTGTGGATAATCTGATGATTCCAGTCCCCGCTGTGACACTGAACGCATCCCTCATTAGAGGAATTTTTGCCGGATACCACCTTACTTTGCCAAAGAACATTTGTGGAGTTACATTCCACCCCGTCGTTCATTTTTATCCGGTAGATTTTATAAAACGGATCTTTTTAAGATATCAAATAAGCCGTTATAAACAGGCCGTGAGACTATTAGATTTCCCTACTGGAAAACGTTAATAATAACTTGAAAACGTCGGGTTTTCAAGGCATCAGATTACTCTCTCGTTCGTAGGATGAGAGAGCAACGCTATTAACGTCAATGCTACACATAGTACGAATCGTTTCGAAAAAGCCATCACAACTACAGACGCAACTTCTATACTCTTGCGACCGCAGAATACCCGTAAATTGACAGATCTGCCACACATACATACGTATGGTGCATAGGGCCCCAGTCGCTGCATAATGATATTTTTTGTTTTAAAACATGTGAGAATGAGACTTTCGGCTCCTTCGATTTTTAAGTTAAACATCCGTAGAAAGCGCAGCTTCGACCGTAAATAATAATCTTACCTGATTACAGATAAGTTCTGCCTGTTTTTTAAGGTTGAAATTTTCATCAACGAAATCCCATTAAACTTGGTGATTATACTTAGCAATGTAATGCCCTATGATTACGTTGAAGGCGGCTTGATGGTTCAGGTTTCATGGCTGCCTGTGAGGTAAGGGGTCCAAATCTCTTGTCAGGCGGTCAAGTTCCTGGCTAGATGACACCCTAAAATGAGCAGTTTACACACACCGTGGACGGAAAACACCAGTGGTCAGCAACTGAGAGCAACAATGAATTCTGCAACCACAATCGGGCCTATCGGATGGTTTGAGTTTCTGGAAATTTGGAAACGGCGGTTCGGACGGCGAAGTTTATTAGTGTTTTGCAGCGTTGTGATCCGTTTTCGCGACGCCGCCCAAATATAGCCAGCGGTTTAGAGCTCAGGTTTGCGGAAGTATCAGTCAGATATCCCGCAGGGCTTTGGGCCGATTAAATGCCGCATTAATGATTAGTCCTTCTAAGCTTTTGGTTTTCTTGTGGTGTAGTGGTCCGACTACCCAAAAGGCTACGTTACCAGGATTGTGTGGCAAAGAAATAAAAATAAAAAGTTTAGATTGAGTATACGATGATAGAGTTCAGATGAAACATTATTACTAAGACTTGTTCTCCCTAAAAGCGCTCGTCGTTGGTCCAGGTCAGGGAATACATAATAATCCAATCCTGGTAGTCCAGAAGTTATCTTATGGACAGTTCTCACACATGTTAAATTCCCAAGATAGTCTGAAATGTTTTGACACAAGAGTTAGCACATGAACCTCGCGAATGACCGCTGTGAGTGCGAGCGAATACAGAACAGAAAGTCGAAGCATGTGACCACCTTTGTCTTGCGTAAAATTGTACAAATATCCTTTCGTATTCGAACAAAAAAATGTCTATGCAACTGGCAAAATACGCAATGTTTCAAAGAAAGCAAAAGAAAGGCACAAAACACCACAGTGGTTGGGAATTTCAAAACCGGCTTCCCTGGTTTTGAACACGGCCAGAGGAACTATCGGATTTTGGCAAAAGTCTCATTGCCTTTACCAAAAACAATATGAATAACGCTGGTAACGTACAACGGTAAATTAACCGTACTAAACATTTACGAGGGATCCCCTTTTAGCTCCGTAAGTCTGACTAAATTTTTGCATGAAGATTCGTGACCTTATGGTTGTCATAAGGAACCCCCGTGGGCAATTTTTCGAATTTTTTCAGCCAAATGGAGGAAGATCCGAATTTCCCCCATATACCGATTGAAAGAACGCTAGCTATCATTAAACCCGAGGCTATCCGTTTTTCGGATGAAATAGAAGAGAAGATTTTACAGAATCAGTTTTTCATAATCCAAGTGAGTGTGAGAATTTCGCTCATTGCGGGAATCTTCTTCAGAAAAGACGAGTCCACCTGACTCCAGAACAGGCTAGTGAACTTTATGCCGAACATTATGGGAAAATGTTTTTTCCCTCATTGGTATCTTATATGAGCAGTGGACCAATAAGTGTTTTAGTACTGGCAAAGGATAACGCCGTGATGAGTTGGCAAAAGCTAATTGGGCCGGCAAATTCGGTGAAGGCGAGATCCCTAGTACCAACAAGGTAGTTTTCCGTTTTTGAATGAATTATCCACCTTAGCCTGCGAGCACTTTATGGCACCGATGATCAGCAAAATGCCCTTCATGGTAGTGATAGTATTGCAAGCGCTGAAAAAGAGATTCGGTTCTTTTTCCAAGATAGTGAGTTTGTTCTTGATGTTGAAATGCTCAGCTGCTAAACAAAAGCCATTTTAAATCATTTCATTATAAACTGCACATTATGTCGAAGGAACTCGTTATCAGACATTGTTTTTAATTAAGGTGAATTAATATGTAGCAATGACGGTTCACAACTTCCATTTTTGTCACATCACAGCATTTGACGCTGAAATTGTAAAAACTTCCCATTCTTGGTGTACTCTTATTGGCTGAGGATACAAAAATTTGGTGCACTACCGCTTTGAACAGCGTTACCCTCTCGGCCGACATCACAAGCACAAGCGACATCACAAGCTTTTTGTCTCATCTTGGCAGTTTTTCGGGTGACATAACCAATGTTCCGGAAATTCCGTCTTACAGCGTTACCATCGTGCGTGTTCCAGTTCAGGTTTGGCAGACCCGTCGTCACTGCGTTGGAGTGAAAATGTTCACGCATCAGTCTATAAAGCCCTCATTGCTGGGAAGGAAGATTTTGTGTCGTGAACTGTAAACACGGATACACTTTGACGTTTCGGAGAATAATCCTGTTTTATGCCATTCATAGCCGATGTTTTTGTCATGCTATAGTGCACAAGAGTGACAAATATTTCAAGGTTTACCTTCCAAGTAATCAAATAAACGCTTTGTGGCCCAAACCCATGCCTTAAGCGACTTCAGTTTTCAACTCCATTGGCTGTTCTGTTCTACCAAAATGAAACGACACGCAATAGTCTTGAAGTTGTGACTAAACCAAAATTAAATTGATGCGCTTTTTCCACAAACAAAGCGAAATGTTTGGTTAATCTAAAACGGCCTCCTGAGGCTAAGACTTTCTACAAATCAGAGTAAACAAAGCATAAGTATGTTCAATTTTGCTATCAATGTATAACCAAGTGCTGCTTATGCCAGTCGACTGACTTCCTCGAAGGGCTTTTTCTCACGACCACGTGAAGGGTGGAAGAGAGCCAGAGGCGGTCAAACAACTGCTTGGCAGCGAAGTATAAAAGCCATTACCAGAAAACTCAGCTGCGCTAGTCATTGCTATCTTCCTGGATGGGGACCCCGAGACGGGCCATATCCATAGTTAGAGACATTGTCAGACATGACCCAGTTATGCCCTTAATGGCACTCATGCATCCAAGCTATTGCCTTCAATGCATAGCTCCCTTCCCAATCCACCCAATTCACAGTCCACCTGCAATGCTGTATTTACGCACTAATTTATCAGCTCCCACCTCCAATACGCAACTGCCTACCCCATCTCCCCGAATCATCGGTGAACGAAACTGTGACAGTTACAACCAATGTACGACAAGTAAACGGTTATTACAGCTGACAATGATGATGATGATGATGACGATTATGAGAACCAAGTGCTTTGATAGGCAAATAAATTCTGTGTATTTCCTCTAGGTTCATCTACATCACATTCCATCTTTATATGCCAAAGATCGTAAATTACTGTATGAGGAGTTTCTAAGTTGCCACTGTCCTCAATCAGGATTTTGAGCAATTTGGTCCCCGTACGCATTAGGTAACATTAAATGCGTCCAGAGATGGCGATCTTAGTGTTAACTGAGGAAGTTGCGGACTTAAAAAGAATAACTCATATTCCAGAGTCAGCATACGAATTCAAAATTGTGTAACTTATTTTAATTAACTATTCCTTGATAATAAAACCTGAAGATAACATTAACCGGATCTAACAAGTTCAAATCCTCCATGCTGGGACCGACCACCGGTTTCACTATTCTGAAGAAGTGAGCGAACTTTACGCTGTCTCACAAAATAGCAACTGAAATAACATATTAGCTTTGTATATCCTCTATATGGCATCAGACGGCCGTTTCATCAGTGAGACAACAACCAAAATCTAAAATGATATGGTTTCATTTTGGAGTAAGGGAGTGTTCCTGTTTTTCTCCGTATGTTTTCTATTCCACTTGGGAAAAAAGTCAAATAGTTTGCTGACAAATGTTTTATGTTTGTTGAGCCATGAACTAGTAGGGCTTATATTATTGCAGTCATTGTCTTTAACTTACATGGTCTGTTTCAAGGGCTTCAAGCCGTCGTCATAAAAGTGGAAAAGTTGGATCGTTGATGCAAAACAGGCTTGCCCTTGTCAAGAGAAAACCGTCAGACCAGCCAAAAGGTGACTTCAGAATGTTAAGCAAATTACTATAACAAACGTCTTCTCTGTGACAATTTTTGTATAGAATATTGCAGAACTAGCAAATGCCCCAAAAACAAAGTTTACGATAACAAAAATTTAAGGTTTACCAGGGTGGGGAGTATTTCCACTGTAAACCGCACCAACTCTTACAATGAAACAGCCCATCTAAATCGTTATTGGGCTGTCTTATCCAAGTTATTTCTGTCAACTAACCTCTCCCTCTTTATACCCTAGTTCTAGAGCCGTAGTATTTTTTCTACTTTACCATCAGCATGGGCTTCGCCACCCTTGTTACAATACTTGGAGTCCTTTATTGGCGCTTCTCGTGAGCTTAGTTGTTTTTTGCTTACTTTTACTTCTATCCCAAGAATGTCACCATTGTGGATCAAATGATATAGTTTTACAACCCACAGACCATTTCTTGGCAGCACTCAGCATCTGTGAAATAATGTGATTGATTATCTGACACGTCAAAGCCAAAGGAATTACATTTTCTCATAAATTCGACCTGCAAAATTTTTATGCGCTTGGTCAGATGAAAGATTCTGGTATGCAGGCTGAGGCATTAACCTAACAGCTATCACATAAGCTTGATAGTGCTTCTTCAACCTAAAGCAAGGGATCTAGGAAACAAACTATCTTACGAGTTTGCCATGCCCAAGAATTCATCAAACTGTGCATTAACAATACGCGTCGTTTCTCATTTCACCCATATGGTTTCATGTTTATATCGTCAGTTTTGCTTTGCTTAATTTATTGAAATATTAGTTAACTGCACAAGAACCAAATTTGAGGTTATCTTGTAATGGGCAATGTCCCCAAAGGGCAACACCCTCGTTCGCGAGACTTTGAGCCCCAGAATACGTTGGATACGTTAGAGCAACATACCTTTGTTTTCCACAGATCTTTGGCTTCTCTAAAACATGGTAAAACATTTCTGTCCCCATCTTCAGCCACTTTTGATGCGCCACATAGAGAGCATCAGTAAATAAGTAGAAGGCCCATGCTGTGTTAAGGAATGATGTGTTCAGCTGACCGGTGTTGATTTTGGGACACCTGGTTGAGTATCGCGTTGTTATTGCTAATGTGACACTGAAATATCAGACTAATTTAACGCCGTCGTTTGCATTCATTTGAGAAGGAGATTAAAATTTGATGCGCCACATAGAGAGCATCAGTAAATAAGTAGAAGGCCCATGCTGTGTTAAGGAATGATGTGTTCAGCTGACCGGTGTTGATTTTGGGACACCTGGTTGAGTATCGCGTTGTTATTGCTAATGTGACACTGAAATATCAGACTAATTTAACGCCGTCGTTTGCATTCATTTGAGAAGGAGATTAAAAAATCATGTGGGTATTGGTAGGTATTTAGCACCTAGCGGTTACAAAATGTCCGCAAACTAAACGGTAGCCAAAATTTTCACGTGTGCACTCAGATACTGGGATTTTTATTATTACCGTCAACTTACGTATGCAAAAAAGAAGAAACTTAATAAAAACAGTGTGCTAGTATACATAACCCTTCCCACCACGTGTCGCTCCCTGTTCCATCATATACTAACCCCTAACCACATCAATGAGAGTGAAAAAAGTCGACTCATTGTAAGAATTTGGAGTTAGATATAACTAAAGAAACACTAAATGCTAATGAACGTAATTTGGAATTAACGTCCGGCGCTGTGATCAATGTCTGAACAAAAGGCTAATAGCCATAAAACCATTGAAAATAACAAGAAAAACTTCCTCTTCCATAAGACATCCGTGAAGCTTGGTCGACCACATGTTATAACTGGTATTGACGGAAACTCTTCATGAATGTTTTCGATGAAATCGACCAAGTCTTAGTCGCCTTTCTAATCATTTGATAACTTCAGTGTGTCGAAATACAGCAAAATGCTTAGACCGTTCCCGTGTAGTCCAGTAAATGAGTTTCGGACTAGCTTCTTTTGAAAAATGACGGCTTAACCACTGACGGGTCCCTTCAGACCGATTGTTGTTTTCTTCTCAATAAATAGTACAAATGTTGCGCAGCCAACGCTGTGCATGAGTATTTGCATGTTGAAAATAACCGCTCAAATACTATGTAATTGTTTATAGCATGAGGTGATTGACGGCTCAGATTATCCGTCCGCTAGGAAAATGGCTGAAAACTTTAGCACAGCAGATAAGATTGTCATCTGGGAAACAAACGTTTCTCTTCGTCACACACATATCGACCCAAAACCTAACATTCCTGTAAAGAGCGGAGAATCAAGTAGCCCTTGGAGATTCAGTTTTATGATAACGTACTTGGTAGGAGAACTTGAAGGTTCTCTCACTTTTGACTAGTTATTCTCTGCTCAAATAGGTATGCATCAACAGCTTATTTTTTCTTCCCACAGCCGTGATGGAACCCATACCTTATAGAGTCACCGCGAAGGATTATCTTACTCGGCATGTAAATCCAACATTGTTACGTGGGCTGACAGAGGTCTGCAAGCAAAAGCCCAAAGATCCCATCGTAAGTACTATTTTGGATGATCGTATGATATGTTTTGTCTCGTAACTTCAGCACACACGTGTACCGCACTGGTTCAAAATCAATAAATTATGAAGGCCTTGCCAGCTCGTGGAATTTTGTTGTTTTGCGTCTGATTGCTTTGCAAAAACTTCAAGTAACCCCACGCTGGGTGTTGTTCTTTTATCTGAAGACCAGATAACGCTCCTTTTTGCTGTATTTTAAATTGTATTAGGTCTTTGAGAATAATGGACTTCGTTCATTGTTTTTGAAATCAAATAAATGGGCGGTTAGATATGTTGTGGTAAAATTGTGATGAGTTGTAGTCAAAGAAATACACCGACCCATGAGGCGTAGGAGACTTTGTAAGATACAATTTCTTGTAATTTCAGGGGAGTTTTTATAGTATTGTTTTGTCCAGTTGGCTGGATAGACATCCATATGTGAAAATATCAAACCCATTATCAAAATCTATAGCTCAAAACAAGTCTTCTCTGCAGGAAAGTGCGGCAACGACTAAAATAGACAGCGCTATTGAATGATATAAGGATTATGTGGGCATCGTGACAATCAACTAGGGTTCTAACATTAAATGGAAGTGAAAGCAATCATACTTGCACAATTTGTATATGCGAATGACACACACACCAAATAAGCCCCTGGACGATCGTGCCCAAATCTGTGCCTAGTGATCTAATTAGGAGCGTTCTTAAAGTTCTGACTTGCTGGGAATGGTGTATCATAGTCAAGCAAGAAAAGCGAAAGAAGACACAAAGTCGTGCTTTAGATTAAGCAATTCACATGGGCTTCCGCAAAGTATCTTTGCAAGATACAAGTAAATTGACGCAGAAAAAGTCCACAAAAATCACTGAAATGGTATGGGTTATTTTGGTGGAGTCTGTGGAGTTTGGGTCCTTAACTATAATGAGGTTCCCATACGTAAGACTAAAATAACTTTCTATTGATATGCTTTTCTGGAAAGATAACCGAAATTCCAATGACTTCATCATCACAAGTAGCTAGACAAATCATTATATCCGCTCATCTGAAAGACAATTTACCCTATCTGTACAGATCACAACACTTACCTTAAGTCCCTTCTGACACATCATCGTTAATCTAAACAGAGCATCTAAAACGGTGAGTTTATAAATAACGTAAGCATTCGTGTCCTGTTTTGCTTCCCCTATGGTTTAGCGTCAAGTCGCATTGTATCTATCGACTGGTCAACATTTCAGAATGGAAAGCAACGCTATCCCCAGTTGATGAGGCTGGTGCTGGTTTTCCAAGTGCTAATGGCAATCTGTTGGGCATCGTTGTCTAAAGAACTGAAGAAGTTTCCAGCTCGTGTCTGGTAGGCCATTGGCTGCGAAGGCCTCTAATGTATACTGGCACACGCAAGACCTGCTGTGAATCAATTATTGTTACCTTCCTAACCACCTAGAAATATCGGTCTCAAATCAAATATAAACTTCCAATATTTCCATGCATTGTTTACGTATTTTCAGGTGATAGTTCAGGTTGTCCATCAATTGGCACGAAAAATATTATTATATCTTGAAGACATTTGATTATGAATAGTATAAGGCCTCCCCATAATTGATTATGCAGACCGATTATCCATGCTGAAAAGCCTTACGCAGTGGGATTCACAAGACGTCACCTCTAAATTCTTTGAGGAAATTTAGGTAATTCCACTGCGGCTGTTACATTCCCGTAGAATTCGACTTTATACTAAAAAGCTGTCTTAACTTTGCTGAAACCCAGCAGCAGTGTGCAGTTCACGAATCACCATCCCGGTTTGAGCTTGGCAGATTTCGAGGGGTAGTCGAACACAATACATGTCAGGTGGGACGTTGAAACACCCAACATTCAAGCGTGAAGTTTATATCAGGTGATCTGGTTCTGTCTGCCTTCACAATAGGCTGATTCCTGGATAATAGATCTTTGATGGAAAAAACAAACTCCATGCAGCCCGATGTGCACGAAATCTCGCTGTGCAACCATCCTTTTCCGAAACCTTTACCATCGATACACGAAGAAGTGAGGATAAAAACCATTACATTTTAGAGCATGGATTATAGCTCGATAAGGAGACAAATTAACTGAATGTAAAAACAAGAAGTTAACTTTTCAAGAGCAAATAAAGAAACCTTTGTTCTACTGCCTTTGACATTCCGTGAGCCCGTGAACCAAAAAGTTGGACAACCACAGATTACGTGAAAGCCAAGGAACAGAAGGAAGTCTCCAACTACGAAAAATGGAGGTGTATGCACGCTCTCCTCAGAACACTTAAGTCTCCACTTGGATGCCAGAAAGGATCGATTGACAGATTTATATGGAGCTGGCGCTGACAGTTTACCTTCACAATCGTGAAATCTTTTCCAATTACTGCTTACGGAAACGGTTCTCAACGAGCATCGTGAAACCTCTTCTACGATAGTTTAAAGTGACACTGTACACTGGGGGCAACAATTATCTACGAATACCAACCGTGCGCAACAAAAGAACTTGAGGCAAGTCATCAGACTATCGCAGATTTAGGAAACAGGCCTGGCGAAATCATAACTGACCGGCAGCGTCTCAGCGTTTTGCAACCAAACATGATGGCTGAAATAACTGTCGACGCAGACCCAAGTCATACTACTGCCAACAGTGTTGACACGTAAATCCGGTAGACATGAGTGTGAGACACCAGCAAGCAGTTAATTATCCGTCGTGAAAATTACCAATCTAAGTGACTGTTGGACAGAATAAACAGACAGGATGAAAGGTGTGCCGAAGGACATGGGGAAATCAGACTCCTAAACAACATTTTGAGATAAGGTAATGCTCGAACATTCAAATGTATAGGATCAATATCTCGGATGTGCCTGTTTTTCTTCGTTCAAGATACGTCAATCACAATGTAGTGGTATAATTCTGAGTTTAGTGAGTTTAGTGCTGGTTATAGATTGCAAGTCTCTAGAGGAAATGAGTAGGACTAACGTTTTTCTAAAGTCTTCTATAAACTTGCTTTTTATACTCTGAAGCAGCTGAATATGGATGGAAAAACTGCATGAGTGACCGATACGTCGCATCCGTTATTCACTTAGGTGTGTTTTGAATTACAATTGTAACAGGTGAAATGTTTCCAAACTTTCAGAGAGATTTGCTAAACAATCGGTGAATTTATTGCTGGGCAACGTTTCGCTTTTGACAAAAAAGCTTCGTCAGGCCAAGTTAATAAGTAAGTAGGTTTATTGGGTTTTAGGGCAGTCAGGAAACCAATCCGTGAGATTCCTTATGACTAGTGACTTGATCAGTGCTGGGTGTTCAGCCTGATGTTCCTGTCTATTGGTTAGTGGGGATGACTAAGATTTACGATATATTGATTTGGGGGATTTGTCTTCATGATGAACCCGGATGTTTCGTCCTTGTTTTTTTCAGTCTAGGACACCCTAATGGAAAATTCCCAAACGTCTTCCAATTGATTGTCTCCAAACATTCTTGTTCATTAAATTTAGTTATTTTTCACCAATCTTTCCCATCTTATTTCAGCCCTGGCTTGCCGACTGGCTTGTTGATAATAATCCGAACAAGCCCAGTGTGAACAGCCGGTATACGGTTTCCAAACATTTATGAGTGATGGAAGATCAGGAGAAGGTATTCAAAGCGTTTCGTTCAAACCGGATTCTTGCCGAAAGAACTAGTGCTACAATATATTCGATGGCCCAGAATAGACATGATGTAAACCTTGGACTCCTTGGAAAGTTGCCTTGAAAATCCCATAAACAGACGTATACAAACTATACGTATAAACGAGTCCTTAATGAAGGGTATCTAAATACCACATTTGGAGGCGTTTTTGAATTTTCAGTCAGTAAATCGATGAATTCCACAATTCCACAGTCTGAGGATGTCTCGCTGATTTGGAGAAAGGACGTTGAACCCAGCTTCATGATTTCAAAATCTCAGCTGGATATTGTGTTACTAAATGTTGGAATTTTCAAGTTTATGACCTCAGTCTTTGTTTGTGCTGACAACTGAGTTCGTGCCAGTATGAGCCGGTAAAAGGCTACGTTCTGACAACTACTTGCGAAGCTGGACCGTCATCCGAATAGCAATCACGTCTGAACCGATTCGCCTTGTGGAAGGCCGGTCACAGTACGACCTGTGTACGTGATCGGTAGTCGACTGAATTAAAACGGAATATCCGCGTGTGCCTCATCAGGTCACGATTAGTTTGCGAGGTTTTGCCATTTGTTTTCACTTGCCCATTTTAAGTACAAATACCTGAATGTCATTCGGAGGAATCAGGAAGTGGAGAAGGATATACTGATTCCGCAACCATCACTAGCTAGTTAATAGGATTAAAATCTACCTTAAGTATTCGCCATTAACTGCTATGCGGTGATGCGAATAAAGTACTGGGGAAAAACGACCGATTGCAAACCTAGATCTTTCACCTACTTGTGCCCTTAACATACTGGAAACGAACTTGGTTTTTAAATGACGCTGTGTAAAAGCTGTGGGCTGGGAACAAGTTCCCAAAAGAGCCCCTATAGCACGATATGGAGTTATCGGTTTCTGAAAGGAATCAGCCACATATTTGTCACTGTCACTAATACAAACAACCCAGTCGTCGAAAAGCTTGATTCTCCACTTAACATTTTGCGATTTTATTCCTCAAGCGATATTTCCCTCCCCGGAGGGATAAACATATCAAGAAAAATGGAAATCATTCGCTCCGGGAGGACTTTACTCCGATGGGGAGCAGGAGTCTGAAATTGTTTTAAAATGCCACGAAGATACATAAGAATACATCTACAACAGGCTGCTGAATCTGCTCTTTTGTTTTTTGAGCATTCTCCACCCCTGGGACCACATCCCACTTTATTACCAATTTTCCAAACCATGAACGTGATATGCTGCACTATTCAATTTTATAGCCGATTTGTGTACATACTTGTCGGCATTCTCTTCGTCGCTGTGTTTGTGAGTTCCGCGGAATTGAAACCACAGTCTAGCCTAAGATTGATCAGAACGAAGTCCTATCAATAGCTTCACACTTTTCAGCCGTTGAACTCATCAGCAAGGCCGAGCTGCTGAGTATGGACTGCATGCCATACATAGGGAATCACCCGTAAGTTACCCCGGTAAATAGATTGCTCGAAACATCCGGATCCATACAATGGTGTTCATCAGCTGAGACTATCAAAGAAGATATGTGACTACTTAATTAGCTGACCTGGCTAATAACATACTGTGTTTTTTGGGACAGTAGTCTTCGTTGGTCGTCCAGATGTGAGAACTGAGTGACTCTCATATTTACTGGGTGTCTGGAGGTACAGGCACAAGTTTAACTGTTGATCTGAGTATTTAAGTGTGCAGCAACTGGCCATTGTCAACGGAATTTTGCACTTTCATTGGGTCATTTTGTCGGGGAGTTGGCGGGGCGGTTTTTCTGATAGGTCATTCGTCATACAGGCATTTTAACTGACGTGCATTGTACATTTATCTTGGCCATATTCGAATCAATGAAACACCGTGTTCTCTTTCATCTCACTACAATTAGGGAGGGCGACTCTTCCATGACAACACGACAGTCCAACAATAAAATTATTCGCTTGTTTTGTGCGGGGTACACGTTTTGATTCCTGAGAATAGGAGAATTACTACATGCTTTAGATACTCGTCAATAATCGACTTGCCAACAATCAACCTTACGTAATAGAACTACTCCATGTGTATGTGGACTGTGAGTGGACGTTTAGAAACATACTCACTTCTCACAAACTATCACTAGTCACATATGAATGATCACTTGAGGATTCGGTCAATATCATCACGTGGATTTTGTATTTGTCTTAATCGAGGCAACAGCCAATATACGAGAGGAGCTGATCGGACCGTTCCACAATGACCTGCTTCCAAACGTTGGGGTATTCATCCTCTTTTTAGACCCTTATTCGGAAACTTGCCACTTGCAGTTTCTACCCAACACCCAGGGGCTGCACTGCACGCGGACCTTTGCACACTTTCCAACTAAGTCTCTCGGAACTCATTTCACAGATTAAACGCTAACTGATTTGTAGACCATTTCAGACATTTTGATGTTTGGCTTGACTAAAGATCCTCCCTGCATAGGAACCCCGAAACGGGACGCATCAGTGGTTAGCGACATTGGCCCTCAATGGCGCTCGTGCATCCAAGCTATTGCCTTCGATGTATAGGTGTATTCCCAATCCTCCCGCTTAAAAGTCCACTGAGAAACCTGTATTTGAGCACCAATTTATCAGCTGCCGCCTGCAATGCACAGCTACCCACCCCACCTCCCCGAGTCATCGGTGGATGAAACTGTGGCAGGTACAGCTACTGTACGACAAACACGCGGTTCTTACAGCTGATAATGATGACGATGATGATGATGATGATGATGATGATGATGATGAATCGTGATTGAGAGCGTTTCGTCTAACGTGAAACTTCATGATCTCTCCCAAAATTACCAGTCAAACTTGCGAAACAAAATCCAGCAATTCAGTCAGTAAAAAGGGTCCGTAGAGAAAGCATCGTCTTTTCCGATCAGTCTTACAAGAGACGGAAAAATTATCAGATCCATCTCAACTCGTGCTATGTCTCAACATAAAAGCATTTTTTAGATGAAAAACGGGAAGTTATTGGAGCCTATATTCAAGTTTTGGATCTGCTGTTCAAGACCGAGAAAAAGTGGTCCCAAGTGCTCTCACCTTCCGTTCAAATAAGCATGAAGGAATATAATTTCTCCTTGCTTATAAGCAGCGTATGGCGTGTGAAATTTGCAAGGGCCGAGAATGGGCTTAACCTAGCAAAAATTTGTGGGGCTCATCCATAGAGGTTAACTTAGCAAAAATTTGTGGGGCTCATCCATAGAGAACGTTAAACGTGACAAATCCCTTCTATTGGAGTTGGCCATTCGACACGTTCTATAGGGTTACAAACTACGCGGAAGGTTAACCACATGTACTCCAACAATGGAGATGTGAAGATCCAAAATCACTCAGTCTGACTGTAACCATCCTTGTTTCCAGTTTTCTTGTCATGATCTACCCACACTGACCATCCACCAACAAGAGTTCCGGGTGAGAAGTGGCGCTTTTTCGATGGACACTGTTTGAGCAAGCGAACTGCTTGCCTCAGTAACCTCAGTATGGTCGACTTTATTTACTGATGTAGTAATTCTGATTTGCTGTCAAGAACTCGCTCCTCCACAATCTCCAGCACGCTGCACCATCTAACGCCAGCTGCGCTGCATTGGTACCGATGATCGGATGCTTAAGAGCCTCGAAGTATAGAGGTTAGGTTTGGCGACCATAAATTAACCCTGTTGTTTCAGTCGAACTTATTTTATGACCTCACGAATGGCGTGATTCACCAAAATTTGCTTGCATCTTGGAAAGGCCTGCACTGATTATATATCCCTTAGCACACCCTTGGCTTATGCAGCTGTCCGGAAATGCATACCTCTAAGCAAGCACAAGTTCTTCCTCCTTGACCTTCACGCAGATGAATGGGAATGGAGACTCATAGATTAGGACTTTGTACTTTAAGGGTACAGAACCCACGCCAAAATTATGGATCACTTCCGGTACGGACTGATGACCATCAGATAACAAGGGGGTATCACGTAGTCTGATGTTTCAAACAGGTGGTTTAGTTTCGACTCCCGTTGACTTGATAACTGTAAGCGACCACGTTCCGTCGTTTGTGTACAATGTTCAAGTAGAGTATAAAGTGGGTGAAAACCTACCTGGCCGACGCAAAATTGGGCGAAACCGGCAGTGGGTCAGCTAACAGTTCTCAGCAACTTTGTGCGTAGTGTCTTCCGTTAAGTGTACTATTCTTTCACTGGATGTAAATTTTGTACCGAGATTCATCGTCTGTTGAGGCGTCCATTCCAGTGTCAACGGTAAGATCGAACGAGAAATGTAGGAGGGGGCATAATCAACGAACACTTGTTGTGGAAGAGCCTTCGGATTGTGAGACTAAGAAGCATGAAGTAGAGTTAAAGACCTTGGTTAACCTTGCTTTGATCAAACCTGCCTGAAGCTGACCCTTCACAATAGGTAAAAGTTTCTTTTAAGTCGAGGATAACCGGAACGCTCGTGTGGTGTGTAGTTTTGCCTAAACAAACGAAGTAGTGTTAAACTCGGATCAATGCACATCTACCCGAAAGAATTCCTGACTGGTCTGGGTCTTGCTTGCCGAGTTTGTGCATTACAGTATTACTAAAGCAAGTAGCCGTTCTTTTGACTGGTATAGTAGAGTTAGTTGGGGTACTTTTTTTGAATACAGGCGTAGTGCTTTACTGGCCATACATTTCTGGAACGTTTTTATTTCAAAACAAACTAGCTGAGGCAAACCCATCACTATGTTTAAATAACGCCAGGGTGCCCTGTTCTAGTTTAACTGTCCGCTGTTGTCTCGAAATAGAAAGGCTCAGTGATAGTCCACAAACTGAGCTGAGTGTGTCCAGTGAAGAGCACTGAAGCTGATGGTAGAATTAGCTATTGGGTTAAATGGTCTACCTAGTTTTCTAAATCGTGGTCTACACTACATGTCAGATTTCCGATGTTAATTATGGTTAATTCCCTTAATTACAGTCCCTCGGTTTCAGTGCTGGACAGTGCCTGAAAAGGTTTCGGTGTAGTCCTCGTTCTCCCAGCCTCTGAAATATACAAGACTGGTTCTCCAAAGCCTCCCTTCTTATACACGAGCACTGTGTGAAATGGCCCATTCGATCGTCTAGCCGAATTATGCAATGAGCCCGAAGAATACGGCACTTCTCCATGGGTGGGCGTCCATCCTGAAATCCATTGATTATTATGGGCGCACTTGGATACACCAAATGACACACCAA